CTGTGTCGAGCGTGGCTTCTGCAGCTCGTGGATCCTCTGTAGCGTTCGTTAAGGACTCGGTTGTACTCCAAAAGGCATCCAGTCTTCCTAAGTCCCTCCCCGTGTAAAACGGATTGATACAGACTGCACATAAGTTTCTACCTTAGAATAGTTTCTCTGCAGCAAATTCTGCTGCGTTTTTATTTTTTGGCAGACTTTAATTTAGTTTATATTGATTCATTCTTGAGTGTTAATTTTTGATTCTTGCTTGACATTGTGCTACAAATGACATGAAGGAGACTGTCTGTAGATGAGCTTTTTTCCTGCTTTTTTAAACAGATAATCACAAAAATAAATGTTCTGTAATAAAAGTGAATGAATCTCTCTCTGAACTCATGCCTATTCTTCTTTTAAACTATTAAGCAGAAAATCAGAATATCTGTTTCTAGAAAGCAGAACAGAAATCTCTGATATGTAAAGTCATGTGGGATACAGCAGAAAGCTAAACTGGATTTTTTTTTAAATTAATTTAATAGGTATCTTAACAGCAAGACCAATATTCTATTGAAGTTGTGTGCTGTGGTCCCAAAGGGAAGGTGATGAGGTCTTCTGCAAAGCAGTAGTGACCAAGTTGTGGAAAGTAAAGGGGGGGGTGGGGTTGGGTTGGTTATTCTGCTTTTGAGTGGTTGAATACTCCGCTAAGAAGTTATTTTGAAAACTGTTCTCTAGTTGAGGAGACCAGAAAGTTCTGTGAGTTTAGAAGATTTGTTAATTGGCTAGTTAAGTGCTTGCCATACTTTCACATATTCAGCGTTGGTTCCTTTCCTTTCTAGATGCTATACCAAGTGCAGATCAGATTCGTATAACAACATCTTTGAAAAGCCAAAGAGGGTCAGTGTGGACAAAAAACAAGTCAATATTTGAATACTGGGAAGTCGAAGTGACCTTTCGAGTTACAGGAAGAGGCCGCATTGGAGCTGATGGATTGGTATTAAGAATTTGATCTAACTGAAAAAAAGACATGCGTTAGAAAGCGAATCTTGACTCATGACTCTTAATTGATTCTGGAATAGGCAATCTGGTTCACAGAAGAGCAAGGCCTGGAAGGTCCTGTTTTCGGGGCAGCCGATAAATGGAATGGCGTTGGGATTTTCTTTGATTCCTTCGACAATGACGGAAAGGTTAGTTGGAAGCAAACTCTTCTAGCAAAGGTTATAAATTCATTTCCTGCTTGTTTTGTACATAAAACTTTGTGGAAAAAACAGGATGTTATTTTTCTACTCTTTCCTTTTCTTCGAAGAGGTAAATTAAAATAGTCAAGTTTCCATTACAGAATTTTTACCAGACTTTTTCACACTTTTTTTTTTTAAGCCTGAAAGTTGAAGCATAACACATAATGAGTCTTTACTGAACATTGGTTCATGTGTTAGGTTTGGAGGGAAAATGCCACGTACATATGTACAAGCTGAAATTTCGAATGTCCACATACAATTTGAAATGTTGATCTATCTGAAGATGGATGCTTTAGAAGAGGCACATTGTACCAAAATATAACACTGTGGAAACACGAATTTCTATATCTGTCTTCAGAGATGCGCTTTTTCCTGGAACAAATCTGCCTTGAATCGTTTGGCCGCAAAAATTCTGTAGCAGATGGGGGTGACAGTTGCTGTTTTGAATTTCCAGTCCAGAATGATCCTGGGAAACTTTAACAATACAGAGTAGGTCTGCTTTGCTTTTCTTGCTTTTCCTGCACTACTTTGACTTGCTTTTAGATATTTTAGATATATTTTTATAGGTGTACAAACTTTTTTTCTACATATGGCTTTTGATACAGTGAACTTCATCATATATAGAAATTGAAAGACTGAAGGTGACATTTATGTTTCTGATCTTCAAAGGCAAGGCATTAGAGTATTATTCAACTTCCTAAGAATTTTTAAATCCTTTTTTTCCATTTTTTTTCTGATTTCTGGCATGGATATGGACACTGGCATCATTTAGCTGGCTGAAGATGCTGTCTACCAAAACCAGTATGTGGACAACACTGTTTGCCAGAACTTTGATAGCACTGGGACTCTGATCATGACAAGTTAATCAGTGTGGTGTGAAACCGTTTTTTTAGAAAGTGATGATGTGTCACTTCTAGTCAAAACAAAAGTCTTTGTCATGCCTATGTTGATCTGACGTGTCTTAAATACAGAAGTTTGTAAGACTTTTTTTAATGACAACCTGTTACTTTCTTCAGTCCCAGTATGGAGAAAATCATCTTGTTGCTGTTTCCGTGTGTTCGCTGGAAGATGTTTGATGCTGTAGCTGCTCCTCAGCCTAATGTGCTAGCATCCAGAAGTAGACTTAGTCTAGTACTGGCAACTCAAAGCACCCTGCTTATGATGCCGATTTAAAAACTGCAAAGCCTTTTCTTCTCTTCCTTCTAAGGCTGTAGGTTATACTACAGTTGAGTTTTTATTTCTCTGTAGAAGTAGCGACAAGTGCTGTATAAAAAAAGAAATAGAATTTCATAGCTTTGAAGACCTGAAGTTGTAAGAACCACACTGAATGTCACAACAGTGTACAGCACATCTTCCCTGTGACCTTCGGAGGTTAAAAAAAAAAAAAAAGAGGTGTTATTCCCCACTTAGAATTCCCTACTATCTTTCAAGTTCTTGTATGTGCTTGCATCCTGACGTGATCCCCAGGAGAAACTGGACTGCCTGTCAACCATTAGTATTGGATACTTTTGTTAGTAGTTATCTGCTATGCTCTAAGGTAGACTTGGGTTGCATTCATGAACGCTTTGAAATGGAACTGTACATGGTTTGTGCAGAATGTGTGCAAGTATGCTCTGAACTGATTCAATATTACTGTTGTTAAACTGAAATAAACAGTAAGAAGATGAATTTAAAGTATTCCAGTGGTATTGAGCAGGTGATACTGGTGTCAGCTAACCAATCTCCATTGCTGAGAAGTAGAAACACTGGTGTGTTTCCGTATACCAGTGTAATGTTCTGTTGTTACCACAGTCTCTGTGATGAGGGAAAAGAAACAGATACTTTGGTTGTAGTGTTATTTGAAGACAAACGATCACCCTATCCCACCACTGTGAATTGGGAAGGACTTTATTTCTTGAATTCTTTAATTCTGAGTCTCGTTTTCTTTTCTTAAGAGCTGGCAATCTCTGGTGGGACAGTGTATTCCTCTGTGTTGTGGTTTAACCCAAGTAGGCAGCTGAGCCCCACACAGCTGCTTGCTCACTCCCCCCCGGTGGGATGAGGGAGAAAATAGGAAGGGTAAAAGTGAGAAAACTTGTGAGTGGAGATAAACACAGTTTAATAGGTAAAGGAAAAGCTGTGTGCTCAAGCAAAGCAAAACAAGGAATTCATTCACTGCTTCCCATCATCAGGCAGGTGTTCGGCTGTCTCCAGGACAGCAGGCCTCCATCAGGTGTAATGGTGACTTGGGAAGACAAATGCCGTAACTCTGAATGTCCCCCAGCTGAGCATGATGCCATATGATCTGGGATATCCTTTTGGTTAACTGGGGTCAGCTGTCCCAGTTGTGTCCCCTCCCAGCTTCTTGTGCACCCCCAGCCTGCTCGCTGGTGGGGCACTGTGAGAAGCAGAAAAGGCCTTGGGGCTGTGTTACCAACACAGTTTTCATAAATCCAAAACACAGCCCCATACAATTTGTTGTGAAGAAATTTAACTCTAGTGCAGCCAAAACCCGTACACTTTAGAAGATGATGGGCTGAAATGTTGAGGGGGGGAGATTGACTCTGAAATCTTGTGCTCTTGTAAAAACTGTAGTTCACTTCATAGACTCCTGGAGGCTGTAATCTGTAACAGCACTGTAATCTGTTCTGCCGTTATCATTTTGGTTTGCTTGTCCTCTAGCAATTTAAATAACTGGGAATGTGTTCAACAGACTTTGTTTAGTCTCTGACACAGCTTCTGAGGTTTTTCTAACGACTGTGACAAGGTCAGTAGGATGTCAACATAGCGTTTGGATATTTTTGTCAATGTTATGTAGCCGAAGTTGGATGTGTTAAGTCATCTATTAGTTTCAAGATCTGTATCTTCACTACATGTGAATTTCTCCTATCTGTGGCTTTTATATTTCTGTATTTGTCAAATTATGGTAATTGGTAATATATCCAGGAACTTAATTTGTGTGGGTTTTTTCGCCCCTAACTATGCAAAGACTGTAGCAGTCCCTTGCAAAGCATGCAGCATAGCACAGTGTTACTCAGTAATTTTGCTTATGTAATCCAAAGTACAGAAATAAAAACAGTGGTGTATCTGTAGTGTAGTGACTTTGGGTGCTTGATCACAGAAAGGCTATCAGTGATGTTACTTATGTTTCACTTCGAATTAAACTTCCATTTGCTTGCTGTTTCATTTTCTAGAAAAACAATCCTGGAGTGATTGTTGTAGGCAACAATGGAAAACTTCTGTATGACCATCAGAAGTAAGTTTATTTTCAATGTTGATGATAAATGTTTGCTTTTGAATGATGAAATGTGTGAAACTCTTTGAGAAATGTTTTAAAGGTTTCTTTCATATGAAACTTTGGTTTGCTTTACATTCGAGTTTTTCTATTTGTTAAAACACTGTTTTGGCAGTAACAGCACAGAAATTGGCAACTGATGGCTATTTAAATGGCATGTGCCCTTTGGGATGAGTGAACTCAGATAAATGGACGTACACACTTTTTACCTCTTCATTGCTTAGGGTTGTCTTCTGCACAAAGCTAATAACTGACAGAAGTGACTAACTGAAAAGTAATTGCCAGTTGTTAAAATTAATTGGTTTAATTTTGATTTCTGATCTTTTATTGTCAACAGCACAACTGACATCTTTTTGGATTCTCTGGTTTTCCCTGTTACTGCATTCTGTCTATATTGTTCCTGTGTAAAGCATCTGGTACTATTGATCCCGGACTTCAGAAAAGCTCAGTGCAGTTGTGGGACAGCTTTTGAAAAACTAGCATATTGAAAAACTATCATGATGTTGCTCAGTGATACATTGATGCTTTTTTGTCTTAGCTGCTAAATCATAAGACACAGTTTTATGCAAGTTGTCTTCTTGTGTAGTGATGGTTCCACGCAAGCATTGGCGTCCTGTCAGAGGGACTTCCGTAACAAGCCCTATCCGGTTCGTGTAAAGATAACATACTACCAAAAAACATTGACTGTAAGTACTTTGAAGTAACATAATTACTCATGTTTCTCAGCTTTCTAAGTGTGAGATTGTTGCAACTATTTGAAAACCCAAAGAACCCATATGTTAATTCCAGTATTCTTGAAAATGTTGAGCTCGGTAGCAGAAGTTGGAAGCAGGTGCAGTATGTTCGAATGCTAGACAAGTTCTTTTAGCTACATTAGAGTGTCTGTAGTTTCCTGAGCTGCACAGCAGGTGTTGCTGATTTTTCTGGTGTTACTTAGTCACTTGTGCTAATGTACTCATATGTGCTCAGACCCTTCTGTTGCTGTTGACTTCGATGCAGAGGTGTCCCAAAGCCAGCATCTGTTCTTCAGCTTAAAAGTGGTTGAGCAGCTCCTTGACGTGAACGTTATTTCTCAGCCTGATCCGAGAGCTGCAGAGGGTTTTGTAGCTGATTGTAAGAGGTTCTTGAAATGTGACTAAGAGACTGAAGCTCACTCTTTGACAATACATTTAAATTTGCTGCTTGAGGCTTCCCACCTTCAAGAAATAGTAGGACTTTGAAGATTAAAGAAGATAGAAAACCGCTGGTATAAGAGAGTCTTCAAGACCTCCTAAATACTATGTAGATGGTTATGAATCCTTTCTAGATAAGGAGAGAAAATTACTAATGTGGTGCTGGGTTGTGACAGCTATGAAATGTGTGTTTCTTGTCTTCTGATTTCTTCTGAAAAGGTTCTGTTCATAGGTATTACCTATAAAACACACAGCTGTCATTTTGTAGTAAAAGTTTCTCTAAAAGTAAACATGAATGCACCTAAAAGAGGGTGGACCTTGTACTGTGTTGTAATGGTAAAAGCTATCTGTTACTTCTGAATGAAAATTAAATTTTAGACTCTAACGTTGCTCTCTTTGAATGTGCCTGGTCCCTGACACCTTATCTAGGAACTCCTCTGGCCCAAATGTTGCTGGCTAACCTTAGCAGTTCTGCACATGCATCTGTGGAGGAAAAGCGAATCTCTCTTAAGCTTAGAATTATCTTGAGAACAGTAAGGGATGACTCTTCTAGGTCAGATGAAAAATTTGTGTTGCCCAGAACCCTATTGGGATGTATACTTTTGATAGACTGGCCTTTAATGATCCCTGAGTCAGGGATTCTTGAACCAGAGTTGATACTGTTAAGCCATGATCAGTTTTAGGATAGAATAATTCCATTTAGAAGGGATCACGCAGTCCAACTGCCTGACCCCTCCAGGGCTGACCAAAGTCACAACACATTAAGGGCATTGTCCAAATGCCTCTGAAAGCCTGACAGGCTTAGGGCATCCACCACCTCTCCAGGAAGCCTGTGCCAGGGTCTGACCACCCTCTTGCTAAAGAAATACTTCCTGACGTCCAGCGTGAACCTCCCCTGGTGCAGCTCTGAGCCCTTCGCAGGTGTCCTGTCCCTGGATCCTGGGAGAAGAGCTCAGCGCCTCCCTCTCCACGTCCCCTCCTCAGGAGGCTGCAGAGACCAATGAGGTTGCCCCTCAGCCTCTTCTCCCAATAGAAAAGCCCAGAGTCCTCAGCCACTCCTCACAGGTCATGTCTTCCAGTTCTGTCACCAGCTTTGTTGCCCTTCTCTGCATTCAAATACCTTAATATCCTTTTTAAAATTGTGGGGCCCACAGTACTCAAGGTGAGGCTGCACCAATGCTGAATGCAGTGGGATAATCTCCTCTCTTGACCGGCTGGTCATGCTGTATTTGATGCACCTTAGGATGCAGTTTGCCCTCTTGGCTGCCAGAGAACACTGTTGACTCATATCAAGCCTATCATCAACCAGTACCCCCAGATCCCTTTCTGCAGGGCTGCTCCCTAGCCACTCCTCTCCTAGTTTATACTTGTGTTTGGTGTTACTCTGTCCCAGGTGCAGAATCCAACATTTGTTACTGTTAAATTTTATGCTGTTGATGATTGCCCAGTGCGCCAATCTATCTAGATCCCTCTGCAAGGCCTCTTGTTCCTTGAGACAACAGCACCTCCCAGTTCAATATCATCAGCAAACTTAATAAGGGTGCATTCAACTCTTGCATCCAGATCATTGATAAAAATGTTGAACAGCACTGGCCCTAGAATTGAGCCCTGAGGAACATCACTGGTGACTGGTCACCAGCCAGTTGTAGCCCCGTTCACTGCAGCCCTTTGAGCCCTGCTGTTCAACCACTTTTTCACCCAGCGCACCATGAACCTGCTCATCTGGACAACTTGTCCAGAAGGATACTGTGAGGGACAGTGTCAAAAGCCTTACTGAAATCCAGAACTACATCCACCACCTTCCCGTTATCTGCTATAGGTGGATAACATTATCATAGGATATCAGATTAGTTAGACAGGACTTTCCCTTTGTGAACCTATATTGACTGTGCCTGATGATTGCATTGTTCTTTAGATGCCTTTCAGTAGCACTCGGTATGATCTTCTCCGTAGTTTTTCCAGGCACTATGGTTAGACTAACAGTTCTGTGGTGTCCTGGGTCTTCCTGCCTTTCTTGTAAATTGGAATAACATTGGCTAGCTTCCAGTCAGCAAGGCCCCCCCCTAGACTCCTAAGACCTTTAGTAGATTGTTGAGAGGGGTCCTGCTGTAACATCTGCTAGCTCCTTAAGTACTCTGAGATGAATCTCATCCACCCCCATGGACTTGTGAACATTCAGGTGATACTTGTCCAGAAATGGAAAGTCACTGCTCCTACAGCTGTGGTCCTCCACCTCAGAGGACCAGGCAGCCCAAGGTGTATCAGTATTAGTACAGACTAAGGCAAAAAGAGTTGAATGCCTCAGTCTTTTCTTCATACCTGTTTGTCAGGTGATCATCTTCACCAAGTATTGGTTGAACGTTTTCTTTGGACCTCCTCTTGCTATTAATGTACTTTTAAAAAGCCCTTGTTACTGTCTGATACAACACTGGCCAGTTTGAACTCAAGTGTTGGCCTTTTGTGTCTTCTCCCTGCATATACGAACCATAGCTCTCTGACCTTCCTGCAAAGCTTGATCTCACTTCCAGAGATCATACAGTTTCTTTTTCTTCTTGAGTTCTAAGAGAATTCACTGTTCAGCCAAGCTGTTTATCTGCCCTGCTAGACTTTGCTTGACTTTTGACAGAATGGGGTTACCTGCTTCTGTGCAAGATTCTCCCTCCCTTTTTTTTTTTAAAAAAGCAAAAACATGGTTCTTAAAAACTGACCAACGCTCCAACACTCATGGATCCTTAAACCCTCAAAAGCAGCTTCTCAGGGGACACTGCTAATGAGGTCCCTGGGTATCTTACAGTTTGCTCTCTTGAAAGCCAGGGTAGCAACTCTGCCGACCTTTTTTCTCATTACACCAAAAATTTTAAAATCTGCCATTTCATGGTCACTGTGGCCAAAGCAGCCACCTACCGTCACACCACCCACGAGTCCTCGATTCACAAACAAGTCTAGAAGGGCATCTTTCCTCGTTAGCTTACTGAGTACTTGTGATGAGAAGTTACCTTCATCTTCAGGTATTTCCCAGACTTGCTTGTCACAGCGGTATGGTATTCCCAGTTGATATCTGGGAAGTTGAAATCTCCCATAAAGACAAGGACTGCTGATGCAGATATTTTTACTAATTGCCTATACTCCTCAGTGCTATCATCCTGGCTGGGTGATCAATAATGGATGCCACAATGACATCTGCTTTGTTTTCCTTCTCCGTAGTCGTCACCCAGAGGCTCTCAACCACATCATCTCTAGCTGTAAGGGCTGTACAGTCAAACTTCTCCATTACATACAGACACCTCCACCTCACCTGTCCCTTCCAAACAGTCAGTAGCCCTCCATCCCAGCACTCCGGATGTGGGACTCATTTCACCAAGTGTCACTAATACCAATAACAGCACAGTTTTGGGAACATACCAGCATGTCCTGTTTGTTGCTTACACTGTGTGTGTTTGTTGGTGCACAAGCATTTCAGATGTGTTCCTAAACCCTCAGTGCTCCCTGGAACAGCGTAAATGCTCCCATTGGCATCTTCAGGCGGTGCTGTGCCATCCCTTGGCTTACCTTTACCTCTCCTGATGGTATCCCTTTCCCCATGTGTTCCTTTTCACACAGTAATTTGTCTTGCTGCTTCTTATAACTGAGATGAATACATTTTTATATGTGTCTGAATTCTATGTGGTATGTCCTCTTAGGCGATGAATAGAAAATCTTGAATTTTGTTCATGCTGAACTTTGAATCAGGCCTTTTTTTTTCATTTTTAAAATAGAAAGGTTATGCGTTTTCTTTGTAAAAAGTGTCTTTCAGAAAATAGATCGGTTTTGGTTTCTAGTATCATTGCTGAATTACCTGCGAAGTTGTATTTGTGACCATTACTGTAAACTGCACAAATAGATTTATTTATGTGGTAAAAATTGTGTTTATCCTTTTAGGTATTAATTAACAATGGCTTTACTCCAGATAAAGAAGACTATGAATTTTGTGCGAAAGTGGAAGATATGGTGTTGCCATCACAAGGATATTTTGGAATATCTGCAGCTACAGGGGGACTTGCAGGTAGAAATGTTAAAAATTGTGACAAATGGTGTGGGGACTTGCAGGGCTTGCAAGAGAGGTTGTTTGGTTGGTTTCTTTTACTGATATTGTTTATCCATTATACCAATTTTTGACCATGATGATGTAATTAATCCTCTACCATTCCCAAATTACTGGTACGCTTAGGCCTTTTCCTGGCTAGAGCAGAAGGACTTTCAATTTGTCCTCACAAAGACATTGTGCAGTCTCATTCCCCACTTCATAAACTCTTGGGAGGACTTTGGGAGGATGCTGTCGTCTGAAGATCCTTTGCAAGTGCAAGGTTGATTTCGGAAGTACCAGGATTTGTAATGTGTAGCAGTAGCAATTTACAGTGTTTTTTTAATTTTGTCATTGAATACAGATGATCATGATGTCCTGTCTTTTCTGACCTTCCAGTTGACTGAGCCTGGGAAGGAAGTAGTAAGCATCTTTATGCATAATTAGTAAAATATGTTTGTGTGTTATATGTGGTACCAGACTATGGTATTTCCTGTGAAGTCGTACTTGCCACCCCTTTTTTAGGATTTTGGCGTGTAGCTGTGCTGTCATCTGTTTTAGAAAAATGAGACTGATAGTGTAATGTTTTGATAATGTTTTGATTAATGTTTTCAAGATCAGAATTCTTGAAGCATCACTGAATCAACAGAAATCCTGATGTCAAATCAAAACATTGAGAGAAAACGAATTGAAAAGTACACTTTGTTTGGAAAGTGGACAAATAATCTGTTCTTGTATTAAACTTCCCATATCTCTAGAACAGTTCTGTACTGCATAGACAGCATCTGTCCTTGTAAAACTTGATTTTGTTTTAATTGCAGAAAGTACGCTTGTATCAGGAAAAAGCTAGGGGTCTCCGTAGGAATGCCTGGTTTCTCACTTCAACTTAATGTATTAATGTGCTCCACTAATTGTGTTATGTCTTCAAATCTGAAATCTGAAGAGCCTTACTGGAGACTAGGTTATATAGGAGTGGTGGAGAACATGAAACAATCTCCTCCCCCCCTTTGATAATGTTTTAAAGCCAACACCAGATGCGGAAATTCCTCAAAAAGATAAAGAGAAATATCAAGAGGAGTTTGAACACTTTCAACAAGAATTGGATAAAAAGAAAGAAGAATTTCAGAAGGAGCATCCTGATGTGCAAGGACAGCCAGGCAAGTTATTTGAGCGATTTTTCAATTATTAAGGAAAATGTTTGCTGTCTGGGATATTCGGAGCTAGGTATACTGATCTTACAAATCTCCTACTGATGTTAATTACTTCAAGAATCTTTGATCCTTTTTTTTAAAGTGTTTTCTGAAATATGAAATTGCTTTTGTCATGTCTGGATTGAGAACAAGACAAACGAACAGAAACGTGGGAATGGTGAGGATCTGTATGGAACAATAGAAGGGAGAGAAGGTCATGCATCCCTCTGTAAAGTGATGATTAAGGAAGCATGGCCTTTTTGGTTATTTGAAAATGTATTTGAAAGGTCATCTTTTTGTCTGTTATCACATTCACAACAAACTTATTTTTTTCCATCTTGTTTTATGGATGGTTATTAAAGTTGGACTAGTGGATATGCTGGAACATGTGCTTACTTGGAAAAGCTTTTTAATGCTTGCTTTAAAATTGGATGGGTAAGCATTAGCTGCATTCAGTGTTGGTATTCAGGTTGGCTAATAACCAAATTTCCAGTTTGATGTTCTTAAAAACTGTGGCCTTTATTTTTACATTTTAAGCTATTGGTAAGAAATTTAAGCCATTGATACTGTTCGTCTGCAGCTCTCAGCAAGTTTTGGTTTAAAGATATTTCAGACTGAACAGCTTTTTTCCACTGATTTAAAATTATATTTAATTTAGGAAAATTATAATAATGACTTTTGCTCACTTTGAGTGTTTAGCCAAAGTGCTTTGACTTTGATTGTTCTGCTGTGGAACATGGTGGGGGGTTTTGTTTGTTTGCTTTGGTTGGGTTTTCAAAGGGTTTTTTTAATTATTTTTTTTAGAGCTGGACAAAAAATAATCTGCGTATTTGAAAATGTAATGGAAGCCAGTCTGTTTCTTTCTTTTGTGGATTGAATTAGCTGTGTTTGAACTCTCACGTAACAGGAATGTACTGTAGGCATCTAGACCTGAAATTTCAAGTTGTCATCTTTTTTTGCACAGTGATGACTTTTCCGAAGGTCCTACACCATTTTATCTTCATCTGTGTTTTTGAAATATTGTCCAGCCTTCCGTTGATAAGAAATAATAATGTTCTTGCCAGAGACTTTCTGATGTTGTTGAAGATGCGGAGGAACTCGCTCAAAATGTGCAATCAGTTCTCTATTTCAAACTACTAACCCTAAAGCTTAGTTTTTCTAAAAAGTAGCTGTTACTTAATACCTGCAAATCTCTTCTGAAGGATAGTTGGTAATACAATGCTAGCTTATCCAAAGATAGCTGCCTCCTAATAACAAGTGTCCTGTTTCCATTTTATGTTGCACATTACCCAAGTATTGAAATAGGAACTATAAGGTGGAGTCTGTGTTTGAATGTGTGGTTGTCTTTGCTCAGTTGTTCCTGATCCCATTTGGGTATCCCTTGCTATGGCAATGTGATAAATAAACACCAAGTGTATCAGAAATGGGGAAGAAGGATATCCACGTGGAAACTTTAAGGGTGTGAGAAGAATGATACAATGCAACCTACAAGGTACACATGTATGTGAGAACTACCTGTGCTTTTTTCTCATCAGCGGATGATCTTTTTGAAACTGTAAGTGATCGTGAACTGATGCAAATCTTTGAGGGACAGAATCGAATTCATCTTGAAATCAAACAGCTTAATAGGCAATTGGATATGATTCTGGATGAGCAGAGGAGATACGTCTCTGCAGTCACAGATGAGATTGCTAAAAGAGGAGCTGGTTTTCCAGGTCAGCAAGGACAGGTAAATTAAACAAAAAAACCCAAACAAGAAAAAAAAACCCCAAAAACGCGCCGTGATTGATAGCTCAGCCTAATTTCAGCAGCATGATCGATTTGCTTTTTCCAAGATATGTTGATCTTTTTCTCCCCCTCCCTGCCCCCACATCCCACCAGGTTTCCCAGCAAGGGATCGAGACAGTTGTGAAAACTCAAGAAGAGGTCATTAGACAAGTAAATGAAATGAGGTAAATGCTTTCTAAATATTAAGGCTGTGTTTTGAATTTTGTATTTTCCACCTTTTCAATCTTATTTGTTATTTCAGTAGAAGAATATTGACAAACTTGAAATTTGTGTAATTTCCTTAGTGATGACTCTCTATACATTTAATTTCTATAAGAAAGTCCCTAGGGTGGCTAAGCTCACTAATTCACTACTTTTTTTTAATCATGAGATTCCACTTCAACAGGTAAGTCTAGTCCCTGTGAAAACAATCAGTTTCTGCTGTGATAACCTGCTACATCATGGAAATTTTTTGCTCTGATTTTGGAGTATTGATAACAACATAAGCATAAATGCCTTTCGTTTATACCTAGTGAACCTAAAAAAAAAAGTGTATTGGAGTATCTTATTGATATACTTAGTGTACTCCTGATGTAACTGTTATATAAGTTTATTATTATGTAATATTATTAATAAAATCTATAGTATTGTATTTAGGTAATAATATTTGAGATATAGTTGAGGTTTTGTTTAGCGTTAAAAAAATCAATAAAAACGAAACAAAAAACCCAACCCTGTAAAAAGCATGTAAGTAGTTCTGAGAAGTAGTTCTGTATAGTTGAAAATGTCTGTGTATGTAATAAGAGTTGTTGAGATTTACTGCTTATTTTTATAATTTTTTTTTTAAAGTAGTTCACTTCTTTCTTCAATACAGACCTATATTTTTGTCTTGGGGTTTTTTCCCCCTAATTTTGCTGTGACTGCTTAAAGCTTATATATTGATTATTGCTCCTTAGTGGTCTGTTAGTGCTACTGATTTGTATATCACAAGAAGTATTTAGAGTTTTATGTCAAGTCTTAAGCCTTGCAGAGGCCTTTTTTTTTTTTTTTTTTTCCCATTTCCATTGTAGACTAACCTTTTTTGTCAGTAAGAGTAAGGCTAGGCCTTGAGAGAGTATTGCTTCTTGGAAAACATTTAATGTTCCCTCTTGGCCTGAACTTTGAAAAATAAGGGGACAAAAAGTTGAGTTTCCTTAGTCCTGCACCTGTGCAGGAGTAACTCCATCCATCAGTACAGCCAGGGGACCAGTCAGGTGGAAAGCAGTTGTGTACAAAAGAGCTTGGGAATCCTGATGGGCAAGAGCTTGGATATTGGACAGCAGTGCACCCTTACAGGAGCCACCACCAGTGGCATCCTAGGCTGAGTTACACCGACACTGCCAGTGGGTTGAGGGGGATGATTCTTCCTCTCTATTCAGCACTGTGACACCACATCTGGAGTCCTGTGTCCAGTCCTGGGCAACCCAGTACAAGAGAGACATGGACATACTGGAGGGAGTCAAGTGAAGGATCATGAAAATGGTTAAAGGGTTGGAGCAGCTGTTGTACAAGGAGAGGCTGAGGGAGCTGGAATTGTATAGCCTGGAGAAAGGCTTGGGGGTATCTTATCAAGGGATATAAATAGCTGGTTTTGGAGGTGGTGAGGATGATAGAGACAGACTCTTCTCACTGGTACCCAGTGACAGAATGAAAGGCAATGAGCACAAACCGAAATGCAGGAAATTCTGTGTAGACATTAAGAATAGTGTGGCCAGCAGGTTGAGGGAGGTCGTCCTCCCCCTCTACTCTGCCCTGGTAAGGCCACACCTGGAGTACTGTGTCCTGTTCTGGCCCCCCCAGTTCAAGAAGGACAGGGAGCTACTGGAGAGAGTCCAGCGGAAGTCTACAAAGATGATTAGGGGGCTGGAGCACCTCTCATATGAAAAAAGGCTGAGAGACCTGGGGCTCTTTAGCCTGGAGAAGAGAAGACTGAGAAGGGGACCTTATCAACACTTATGAATATGTAAAGAGTGGGTGTCAAGAGGATGGGGCCAGGCTCTTTTTGGTGGTGCCCAGCAACAGGACAAGGGGCAACGGGCACAAGCTGGAGCACAGGAAGTTCTGCTTGAACATGAGGAGGAACTTTTTTACTCTGAGGGTGGCAGAGCACTGGAACAGGCTGCCCAGGGAGGCTGTGGAGTCTCCTTCTGTGGAGATATTCAAAACCCGTCTAGACGTGTTCCTGTGTGACCTGCTGTAGGCTAACCTGCTCTGGTGGAGGAGTCTGACCAGATGATCTTCAGAGGTCCCTTCCAACTCCTACCATTCTATCAAAAGAAACTTGTGAGGTAGTTGAACACTAGAATAGGTTGATTGCCCATGAAAGTTTTGTAGTCTCCATCCTTGAAGATACTGGAAACACAACTGTGACTAAAAATTCCTTGGTTTGTTAGGTGCCAAGACATGTCGTCATATAGAGTACTTAAGGGGAGGAGGGAAAAAAAAGGAAAAAAAAAAAAGCAGCACTGTATTATTAAATTACTGCCACATTGTGTAGTGAAGACAGAAATGTGTTGGTTTTTATTCACGTGCCAATGTGTTGTGTAGACCATTTTAGGAATCTTGTTCCCATTGCTTGTAGGTTAGAGGAAAATGGGGTGTGTTTCTTGGTTGGTTGGTTTGTTCTTTTGTCAGAGGACTTTCTGCCAGTGAACTTCCTCAGAAAACTTTTGTATCTGCAGGGACACTTGCAAGTTCCCAAGTGATGAATAATTTTGCTTTTTAAGATGCAGTTTTTAAAATGGTTTGAGAGGTACCTTTTCAAACTACGTTACCAAATGAAGTAAAAATCTTACTTGAAGGTGCTGTGCTGCTAAAATGGATTTGAGAAAATTCCTGTGTTTTGTAGGGATGTTTCT